TATGCCCTGGCCTGTGTTGCCCTTCGAGCCAGAACTCAGGCATATATACATAGAATATCTGTATACTGTCTATGAACTATAGTCTATTTGTTGATTGTATCATGCTTTGCCACGCCATGATATCATGATATTTACCCGCTGCTGCTGCTATCCAATGTTGATGATATATGATAAAATGTTCTATGTTACGTGTTCACATGCAGACTCGGCCGAGTTATGTGACTTGTTTTGATTATATACTATCCTGGTATCATGAGAAAACTTTGCGCATTCATGGTTGATATGTGTATATATATAAAATATATATATATATATCACCTCGCTGTTTCTAAGTTCCTTGTTCAGCAGGGTATGTTCTTTTTCGTTGACTATACACATAATTTGTGATGCTCAAAGTTCCCAATTTTGTGATGTTCTAAGTTCAATGTTCTTTAGATGTTCTAAGTGTACGTCAAAAAAAAAACCTGACACCCAAAGGATGTTCTAAGTTTCACTCCATCACTATATATATATATATGCAAATTTTCATGCAGAGTCGCATGTCCACTCGTTCCCGGCGGTCATGAGTCAAGCGCCCCCCATGCCTGAAAAGGCACTGATCGCCGCGTTTGCGCCACGCATGGTAGCGGAGCTCGGCTTCTCACGAGAGAGAGAGAGAGAGAGAGAGAGCCGGGCAGTAGATCCAAGGACACCGAGGAGGAGATCCTTTGTTGCTGGAGCTTGCAAAATGTCAGAGCTGCGATACAGCAAGGATGGTATACCTATCTATGATGGGTCGTCAGACCAGTATATACCCTACAAGCGTGCTGCATTGAACTTTGTTGAAACGCTGGAATGGAAGAAACAACCACTTGCTGGACCCCGCCTGCAAGCAGTCTTAGAAGGAGCTGCCAAGACAGCAGTTCAACACAAGTCACCAGGGTGGATATCTCATGAGAGGGGCGCTCAAGAACTGCTCTCCTTTTTGAAGACCTAGGTACAAGCTCCCACACTGGCTGAAGCAGGAAAGACAATCAGCAAGTTCTTCTACCCGTAAAGGCGAGTGAATGAATGCCTGGATTGTTCGGCGCGATGAGGCCTTGTATGAGGCCAGAAGGACATTGGGCGAGGCCATCGAGGAATATGGACAAGGTTACTCCTCTCACGTTGATGACTTCATGTTTGGAGGATCAGCAACAGACCCCCGCTGGGGCCACATCAAGAAAGCAATCACCACGCGCTTCAAGTTTGGAGAGTGGGAAAAAGGGAAATTTACACAATGTGGTGTGACCATAGAACAAAGAAGTGATTTTTCCTTCCAGCTTTCACAGCGTGAGTTCCTGGACCAAGTGTCTGAAATATACCTCACCAAACAGATGTTCAAGAACCCTGAGGACAAGGCCACAGCAGATGAACAACAACAGATGAGAAGCGTGTTGGGCTGTCTCGCATGGCATGCTGGACAGTTGGCTATGGAATGGAGTGCACCTACAGGATTACTCCTCTCCAAAGTGTCACAAGCCAAAGTAGTTTTGAAAAAAGCAAAACAAAGACAAGGCCAGAGCATGGTCATACACACCCTAAACAAGGAGGGGATCATTTTAGCTACATGGGTGGATGCCACACATGGCAACCGCCAGGACTTGAGCAGTACCAAAGGAGTACTGATAGGATGCACCTCACGAAAGCTTCTTGAGGGCACACTTGAACCAGTCAACCCAGTCTTTTGGAGTTCATCTAAAATACATCGCGTTTGCCGCTCGAGTGCATCGGCCGAAACAAGGGCAGCCGTCGACGGAGAAGACCAGTTGTATGCCATGAGGTTCCAGGTTGCCGAGTTTTTGGGAAAACATGCCAATGAAACGGTGAATTATGTTGAAGGTGTTCTCATAAGTGATTCTAAGGACCTCTATGATCGGCTGAGCTCCACCGTTTTGACCCTTTCCGGAGCCGAGAAAAGAAGTGACACCGAGACCCTTTGTTTGAAAGAAGCCCTTGAAGAAAACCATGTCCATCTTCGATGGGTTAATGGCGAGAGCCAATTAGCCAACAGTTTGACCAAACTGGACGAACCACAGCAAATCCTGATGTTCAACGACAGGAACGGGAGATGGCGAGTGGTTTACGATGAAGGTTTGGTTTCGGGTCGTAGGAGAAAGCAGCAAGGAAACGGACCTTTAGATTGATCTGGCACTTTAGGAGTACCACCTGTGCAGAATTTCATTCAGAGTCGCATGTCCACTCGTTCCCGGTGGTCATGGATCAAGCGCCCCCCATGCCTGAAAAGGCACTGATCGCCGCGTTTGCGCCAGTGAGCTTCGCATATATATATATATATCTGTGTGTGTATACAAGAAAGACCTTCCTTATCTTGAAAGAATGAATTGTGTCATGCTGTGCCTTGGATTGCTTCAAAGGCATCCGGCTGGTCGGGTTCCTCGGGCTCCTCCGGCTCCTCTATCTCCTGACCTTGCCGCCCATTTGGACATCAATAACTGACAAATCCTACCAATTTGACATCGCCACAAGACTAGCTGCCCGACAGGCATCTGGGAGCTCATCAAGCTCCTTCCCAAAACCGGAACGTGTTCGGCGCTACCTCTACTTTCCGGCGTGCAGTACCCCGAGGGGGGTGCCCCCCCCAACCCAATCATTCTAATATAACCAACCAGGCCACAAGCCGAAAAGGATGGACAACATCAGGCAGCATCTTTGCAACCCCAACAGTCACCTTTGATGCGTCATCTTGCATGACGCAACCCAAAAAGTACACCTGTAGTGAAAACGTGTATACTGTATACTAAACTGATGTGTATGACAATGGCTGCTGTCCTGGATGGTTGGGACAGTCTTCACAGCCGGAAATGTGGCAGTTTGGAGCACGGTATCGGGTCTTAACACACAGTCTACTTGTACGGATAAGACCAAAACAGGGAACAGAACCAGCAATGAAACGGGAGATTTGGGTTGCCGATGCACAAATCCCCTGATCAGCAACAGGAAAGTGAGGAAAGTTACATGGGGCAAGCAAAGTGGCTAGAGCCTAGAGCAAATGTTTTTTCTTTCACACTCAAGCTGATTGGCCCATAAAAATTGTAGTTGTCTGCACCAGCCTGACATGTCAATGTGCTAAGGTGCCAAGACCCTGCGAGAACTGCTGTTGGTATTTAGTGTCTCCAATGGCCCTTTGCCGCTGCCAACAAAGCAAGCTTTTGTATAGAATGCCGCCAAAGTCTTGACAAAATCATCTACCATGCACAACTAATGCACAACCAGACCAGCTGTCAGAGATTGGTTGAGAAATTCACGAAAGAACTGGAACAAACGAATGGCCCATAAGGTCACCAAAGGAAGCGGTGCTCTAACGAGAAAACTGAAGGCCCTGGCCCTAACTTGCAAGTTCACTAAGCGTTCTATTCGAATGGACAAAAGGATTATGACTCACCAAATGCGAAGCTTTTCTGCGGTCATCGAGTGCAAACCACTCGGGTGACACTCATCCACAAACCACACACATCTCGCCCTGTTTTCTCAAACTTACCTCGCTTGACCGGGGCATCGGAGTCGTAAGTGATAATCTCGATCCGTCTCTTTCTAACTCCTTGGGTGCCCTGTGAACAGGCCGGAAATCGCTTTTAGTAGCGTCCGATCGCTCCTAGTAGCGATGCCAGGAGCCCCTAGTAACTTCTTGCTCCTAGTAAGGCCAGGAGCCCCTAGTAGCATCCTTGCTCCTAGTTGCTTACAAACATGTCAAAAATGTTTCAAGCGTCAAACTGCCCGCTCCTCATCTTCTGGCACGGGCACCTGCTATGTCCGCTACTCAGCATCACTCAACTTTGCCGCTACGTGCTGACTGCGCCGCAGCATCCCGCTGCGCCTGCAAAGCGCGGTCCAATTCTGACTTGGCACGCTTGGCCTGAGGAAAACTGGAAAGATCAGGACTTGAAAAGGGAAAACGAAAAGAAAACTAACGGAACGAATGCCTTAAGATATCCTGTCGATGGGAGACCATCTCTCCAAGACCGAGGTGGGATTCAAGGTCCAAAACCTTTTGTCTTTGGAATTTGCAATGATGTGCCGGTTGGGATTTGGAGTGCTCTGCAAATCTTCATGATTTGGCCACTGAAAACCTGGGATCACATCACTATGTCGGTCGGAGAAGCATTGCAACCATAGTGACAATCTTGGCGCAACAAAACATACCAAAAAGGCGCCCCCAACTGGTACAGGGCCGTAACGGGTGCAAATTCCTCACCATTTCGGCGGCCTCCCGTTGCAACTCCTCCACTCTTGGCTCTTTTGGTCTCCGATCCTGATCAGAATGTTATAAATTGGCTTCTTGCTTTCATTTGCTTTCTATATAATTGTTTGTTTCTTGCGTTTTTTGTCTCTTTTGGCTTTTGGATTCTCCAAGTTCTCCTTTCAGTCGCCAAGAAGTGCCACTACCAAGGTGCAATTTACGTCAGAACCCTGTCCCTATCTACAAAGTGCACACTTGCTTCTGCCTTGAAGGTCTCATAGACCTAAGCAATGAGTGACACAAATTAAAGTAATGAAGAAGAAAGGCAGAGGGTGAGAGAGAAAGAGAGAGAGAGAGAGTGTGTGTGTGTGAGAGGGTTTCGTTTTTCACCACTGGCATGCCGGACCATACCAGCGTTTTGCTGGACAAGCTAAAGTGTGCTCACTTTGCTAAAACGCACACCAAACTCAATGTTTGCAACATAGAGTTGAAGTTTGCAAAATGCTGCAGCTCTGCAACCACGATGTGAAACTGCACCCTTTGCTACTGTGAATTTGCTTGGTTGCTCCAAGAAACTTCGTGAAAGTGACATCCCAAAAGCTTCAGTAAAGCTTTATACGTAGACTTTGTCAACTTGCTTGTACTGTGTTTTTGCCATTTGCTCTTCTTTCTAAGAGCTCTTGAGCCAAGTGTTCAAGCACCTTTGTGATCTTTTCAATTGAAAGAAAGATCAGTCTAATGCAGCTCTCATCTTCTATGGAACAGTGGCTTGCAGAATGTCCTCGTAAAGTGCCTGCCTCTCTTCCTGAGAACTTTCAAAACCATGAAAATGTGCCTCTACATTATATGCTGAGCGTTACTAGCAACAAGAAGGTTCTTTGAAAAAAAAAAATCTTGGAAAGAAAAAAACCTCTTTAGCGCTCTTTGCACCATTTGCACCAGCTTTCTACTGGAATGCGAGTGTTCTTGGAGCGCTCTGAGACTGATCACCTCCGAGCCTGCCGGCAAGTGTTGCCACGCGTCCTCCATTCGCCTCGATTTCGAGACCAAACCGACCAAACGGACCAAACCCTAAGCCCAGCACCTATGAGGCGATGTCAAGAAAGACCTCAAGACACAAAGAACCAGAGACTCGACGGCGTCTACGGTGTGTTTCCTTTAAGATTGAATGCTTCATTTCAGTGCCTCAGCCCTGGACACTGGTGCAGGGCCGGGCTCGCTTCGACTCCGAACAGCACCTGAAAAGATTCTATATAGTGAGGTTCAGGCGATCAATTGTCTACTATGTATGAGTAGACTCAGTAACGGCTACTAAGTAGCGACTATATAGTAGGTGCACTCAGTCTGGTCTGGTGGTTTCAAGGGGCGGACTCTTTGCTGCGGAGGCAGCGTAGGCTGCTGCTGCCTGGATCATTCTCTTTTGGAAGACAATGTCAAACTTGTAGGTCCACAAGCGGCCACCAGCGTATGAATCACAAAATTTCGACTGCTTTGGTTCCATCTACACTTCTTTGTTCATGTCTAACTTGCCTGATACGGTCCAAGCTTCTGTCGGATCAATTGCTGCTGTATCTCATCTGGTGAGAGCCTCACTTGTTTCATCATTGATCTGATAAACCAGTTGCACTCGTTGCACAGCCAAAGACATGTGCCTGGCGTCTCCATTGGCCTCCAGGACTGCTTTCAAGTTGACAGGTTGAAAAATACCGACGAAAGGAACCAGCAGGAGGGGGCGGGTGAACGGTCCAAAAAGGAATCATTGACCTTGGAGCTTTTCTTCTCTTTGTACTTGTTCAGTCGACGTCTTCTACTATATATATATATACATATGTATATTTATGTATATATTCTCAAACCCACTTGGTTATGAGAAAGGCAGCTGAGACAATCCGGTTGAAGCTGGGTTCTCAAAATGCAATTGGTTCCCTGAACCACAAAGATCTGAATTCAACCACTTATATGAAGTTCCTGGTGCCCTGCACCTCCCGCAGCCGATGTACCTTTTCTCACGGGCGCTCCGGCGCTCCGAGATCTCCTGATCCCATGGAAAGGCTCAATCAAAGCCCCCCTCCCTCCCTGTGAAGGATTTGGGCCATCAGCCACGGTCGTGGCATGCTGAACATGTGACATGCGAGCCTCCTTGGAAATCGACATTCGTAATGTTTAAATAGTTTGTCGAACATGTTCCTTTCAAGCCAATTGTCCATGGATCAAAATATACCAACAAAAGCGGTGGTGGTCATTGTCCTTTTATCAGATTCCCACTATACTCAGCTGAGTATCCCTTATCAAGCTTCACATTGCATTTGGTCCCCTCTGCAATTTGAATTTTGAATTTCTGATATTCGAACCTCGTCGAGATTGGACATCCACTCTCTTCTGCACGTCGAATTACTGGAGGGAGGTTGGACTTGAGTATTTTGAGTTGGGGGCGTCTTGGCTTTTCCCACAACTCTCAAGCCTGTGCGTGGCGTCATGACTTCGGAACCACTTCAGTCGGGCCTTACGATCAGATCCATTTCTCAAGATTTCATCTTCATCCTTAAGTTGATATCGGCCTATGTTGAGAACTTCACGAATGGTCGTATTGTCCATTACCTTAGTCAGGCAATCAGCTACTTGGGCACTCGATGGTACCCAGCGGACAGCTACTCCAGTAGCTAAGTGTTCTTTGATCAATCTGGCCTGAAGCAAGGTTCTGAACTCTTGGCATGACGGTGGAGCTGTTCTGCTTACGAGATCAAACAAGCTTTTACAATCTGTGGCTACTATGGAGTCCTTCTTTCCAATCTCTTGGAGCTGGATGAGATTGGAGCTCAGAGTTTGATTTGGATCTTTCAGTTCTGGTTCATCTTTGAACGCTGAAAAGGCTGGGGGCAATTGGGCAAGTGTCTGGTCTCCGAGTCGCCACTGGCAGGTGCTATCCAACAACCATCCCCAGTACAATCTACACCATGCAAGGATATCCATCGCTCCTGCAAGCGCCACTGCTTCTGCGGACAGCGTGCTCACGGCCACACGTTGAATTTTCTTGGACGACCAAACATTTGGGTTTACCACACTTCGTTTGTTTTCTCCTATCTGCGCACCGCCAAGCTCCAGCCTCAGGTCTGAGCCCTGGAGCTCTCTGCGTTTGACGACGGCTGACACCATTTGGGCGCTCAGCCCCTTTTATTTTATTTCTGAAGGATCTCTTCCTCGCTCATGTGAAACTGCATATTATCAGTCAACACCTAAGCTGCCCAGCAAGTGTCTCAGTCAAGCTCTCTTCGCTCTCTGCGTGTGAGGCGCACTTGCTCCAGCTCCTCCTGCTGGTCATCAGCCTCAAGCTTTACCTGCAGGAAATGACGCAGCTCTGTGACATTGGATTTGCGTCGGTCCCAGGAGCCTCTTGAGACCCAACATCGAAAGCGCCTGATCAAACAAGAACTCCAGCGTAATGACATGAAAGAGTCGCCTTACGTCCTCTGCCTGCTTCCACTCCAGAAAGGCGGAGGGCAGGCTCTTCAGCATTGCCAAGGCGCGATGCCTCTTGAAAGTGATCCGCACCTCCCGCTCTTCAGCAACTAGCTGCCTCTCCACAGAAGCTTGAGTCACGACAAAGTATACTTCTGACTATACGTCGAAGGACGGCAACGAAAATCATCTTTGCTTCGGGCGACGACGTCCTGGAATCAATACGATCTGCAGGAGGCACCTAATATGCCTGGTGAGAGTTGGGAGCCGCATTTCATCATCCATCCTCTTCGCCATTCGCAACCTTCTCTCAAGAAACTATCCAATGGCTCAGGCTGCACACCCCGAATCTCCAACTTGTCAAACAGCTCATGAGCTTACCACACAAAAGCATCGTGATCTGGGATTGGCGGAGAGAACCAGTACAGCCTAGGCCGTTCAACGCGACTGAAGGGCCCACTGTCAATCATAACCGGCCGCATACTCAAAGCAGCTGTTGTCTCATCAACGTTCACCAACTCTGAGACGACATCCTCGACAAACTTCACCGTCCACAATCCCCGTGTAGACACCAATTCACCCACGAACTTGAACGCTCGAATGACTTCAAGAGACAGCTGGCTCTGCAAATCTGCCGTCTCCGCTTTTGCGTCTGACAGCAAGTGGAACCCCAGATTGAGGCTACCACCTCCCACGATATTCCTTGCTTGAGCTTTGGGGCAATCCAGCAAGGCCTGTGACAAGACTTTCTCCTTCAGGTCACGGATATCAAACAACAGTTTCATGTCTGGGTACTTGAGCTTCAACAGCCGCGGGCAATTGAGGTCCACCTCCACAAAAATGATCAAATGACCTCCCGGTCCAGCACGCCGTAATGACTCTTCAAGCCCGCCAATGCCTGAGAACAAATCTATGAGTCTATGATCATCACCGTCTGTTCACTGACTGAGGGTCACCTGCAGGAGTACCATCCAGAAGGACTCTGGCGCCCACTTCATTGCATCATAGCTGGTGGCGAGAATATCACGCCTGCCAAGCTCTCCGTCGCCTTGGGGCGTGTGACAATTGGGCCAATCTTTGCCTTGGCAACACGCATTCCACCAATAGCATCTCATTCAGACGCTCCGCGCTGAGCCATGTGTAAGAACCATCCATAGCAAGGCGACGAAAGACTTGCCCCAGAGTTGAGTCGAGGCATCGCCTAAACTCAAGAATACGCAGGGCTCGTCCTGCCCTAGGCTCCAAGGTTGCCTTTGGAATCACCTGTAATCTACGCAGAAACCATCCCAAGCCGATGAAGTCCAGGCATTTCTAGAGGAGGGGTGGATGACACCATTCTTCACATTCAACAAGCAGGTCACGCGCTCAGGGCTTTCCGCTCCTTGTGAAGCTACACTGAATTTCAGTGGAATTACCCACCAACTATGACTGTTTCTTAGCTTGCCTTTCATCTCCTCCGCTGCTGCTGCTGCAAGGTAGGGTCATCCCCATAGAGCAGCCATGGAGGTCCACCGGGAAATTCTGGGAAAGGACCTATAGGCAACGTCTTCAAACCCGCCCCATAAGGACGGGGCCCGCAGGGCCATTGCTTGGTGGGCGCTCTGAAGGAGGTCAATGCCTGAAGGGAACATTCGCAATCCGACGTCCGGGAACTTTAAGGCCAATGTCTTGCGCGTTGACTGGCTCGTCTAGCGTCATGTGTGGGGGCCAACTGTCCGGCAGCTTGGGGATGAAGAATGATGTGACCATATCTTCTTGACCGACGAAGCACTCACCATCTTCTTCAACAACCAGGTGTTGAAAAGCCATGAGCCTATCAGATTCTGATTCACGACCGTCAATTGGCGCATGATGAGGTTCGTTCCTCTCGCGTCGAAGATCAACTCGAGAGTGGCCTGGCTGGGGAACACCAAACAGACCATTAATCACGAAGGCTCCTACTTCGGCATCTCCTCAACCACGGTGACGATGCCTCTATCCACGACGCCGATCACCATGTAAAGTTTTCAAAGCCACGACCAGGAGACCGCGCCAAATGCGTGCACCTTCGAACCTGATAAGCTTGGGGGTCTTGCTTCGCTTATCCGATCGCTCACGGCATTCGCCGGGGCCTCTTGACTGACAATCAACGACTTCAATTTCCTCAACGCTTCGACCGAGCTGCGCCATAGGGAAGAAGCGAAAGGTCTATACCGGCGCCCGATTGCCTTCCCATGGGGGCTGAAGTGACCATGAAAGGCACTTGGACGGTCATCCTCATCCATTCTTCACCTTCCACGTTAAAGCTCCTCCTCTTCTGGAGCTGCATGAGAAAGAAACCGTAGTTCTTCTTGGTGTGAACGGCGACCAGGGCGTCTACTCCCCGTCGCACGCTTGCCACTGTCCTCAAGGATCGAGGGGCGTCGCTGCCTCTGCCAGAGGTCGGGTCAGCCTCAGGCTGTCCCTCTCCCGCGCTGCTTGTCTTCAAAGCTCTTGAGCTTCTTCGGCGTAAGTTCCTCCATGCGGGGGTCATGCTTGCCTTCACGAGGATCACGCCGATCATGAGGGAATGGGCTCTCATCAACATTGCGTATAGAGGGTCCACTTGCTTGGGCTTCAAAATTGCGCGCCCTCTCTCACCTTCCCTCGAGGGGCGTTGATGCGACGGCAAGTTTTCCCATCCCGTAGGATCCTGAGCCTCCCGTCAACTGAGATTTCATGTTTGAACGAGTCCCCTTCTCGCCTGTGGGCCACGCCGGCCTTCAGGGCTGTGAACTGAAGCCTTCCTACGTACATCCTCTTCAGGCTTCCGCCGGACTGGGCTCGGGACCGCTCTTTACTATACAGGCTCTGACACTCCCTCCGTGGCCGGCTTGGGGGACCGCTTCGACTTGCCATCTCGGCCACGTCCAACAAGAGTTTCTTGCCCCATCTGATGGCCAGGGCGGACCAAACTTGAACGCGCAAAGGCGCACCAGGCGCCGACAAGTATGAGCTCACGCTGGTCTCCCTCCAAGAATGTGATCCTGCAGACCGAAGGGGCACACCCACACATGTGGAAGCAGCCCCATTTGGGAGCCAGTGGCTCACAAACCATGCGCGCCGTTGATCTTCAACACCTTCATGGATACCTTCAAATATCCCTTCAGACTTGCTCACCCACTGAGTCCATTTCCTTGCGGGGCCCATGCACTGTCCCGACGCTCGGTCTCAATGATGGAAACTGCAGCTACAGCTAAAGATTGCAGCAGCGCTGTTGCCATTCCAAAAATCCCCCTCTGTTCCAGCTTCGACAACTACGCACGTTCAGCTTGACGCAAATGCCTGCACCTGCAGAAACCATATTTATATAATATACATGTGTGTGTGTGTTCACATTGGGCTGCTTTGCCAAAGGCTTTGCGCCGAGGTTTCCAGCTGTTGAAGATCCACCTCCTCCGCATTTACCAATGCTTTTGCAAGAGCATCTCCAAAGCTTGCCAACCAAGCTAAACACGGAAGCTGAGCAGATCATAGACTCACCAAAACCGGAACCCACAGCTACCACGAAGCTCAAACTTTGCGTTGGTACTTTGACGCAGTTATCATAGAAGCAAATAGCGTTGCTGGCCGAGGCGGATGCTGTGAGATCACAGTATTCAGCATTGTTGCAAGATCTCAAAGAGCTTCACAGGAGCAAACTTGTCCTGCGTTGCGCGGTGGGGCCAATCAGAACAGGCTGAAACAGCGGATGTGCCAACTGCAGTGGTTCAGAACTGAAATGCCGTGGGAACCCCACACGTTTCAACCGCTTTGGACGCAATATGATGATCGGGTTCAAGACGCAGCCAGTTTCCTGGTCTCAATGGTGGACAAGGCCGGCCTAGTGGTTGACGCCTCTTACCATGTCGACTTTCAACAAGACGTCCCACATCCTCTATCCTGCAAATGGAAGTGAAAAGACCTTTGAGACGCTGGCAGACAGCTAAGGACAAGTCTTTGCTGAGGATGGTCTTTGGGTAGGGCAGCTTGGAAGGTGTCAAACGCAGGTGAATAGACAAGGCATCGTGGTCACAAAAGTGAACGCTTTCAAAACTACACCATCTTCGTATATCAGCATATTGTATCTGTCTACAGGGGTTTTATTGATTGTCGATCATTGCTCCTTTCCTAGACCCGATTGTGAAGGATAGTGAAGGTCATGCTTCGGCGAAAACATAAATAGTTCAGGTATAGGCTATTTGCTCGGATTGCCTCACCCACGTGTCAATGTCACGCACCTTGTTCAAGCAGTCCGCGCTTGGGCACACTTCACCTCGAAACCCATGGTTCACCGTTGGGATTTCAACAAGGTGGAGCCGTTGCTGCTGCTGAGAGTCCTAAAGGTGGAGGGATTTATGCAATTGACTCTCAGGTACCCTTAGCTGCCACGGTTTATATACCTCCAGCATGTCATTAAGGAGTTAAACGAAAAGTGTCCACATCTTCATGATTGCCGACTGCAGCCTGGATATCGTGGATAGACAACCTTCGGGAGCGGTGAACCAGGCGGTTCAAGCACGCCACTATTTCAAGGAGCTACTGGAGGAGGAGGGCTCCATCAAGAAAACAGGTTTCAAGAAGTGGGCCTCGAGTTCATGATGTCATACGAGATCTTGGGGCAACTGCAGAAAAAAAGGCGGGCAGAATGGTAAAAAGGTTGGCCACTTTCAAGATTCCACGAAAACTGCGAATTTGAAGCTCTACAAACGCACAAAGCCATGGGATTGGTGCCGAGCGTAAGGACCTTAATTGCAACACACTGGCAACCTCAGCATCATGTATGACATGAATGCGCGACATCAGGATCCAAACTCTGGAGGCTTTCATTGACCAGGTGAAGGTATTTCATCGGCTCTGCAAAGGATGGCCGGATCTAAAAAGTGGAAAGCGCATCAAAGCCAATTTCACCCACGGCCAGTGGCCAAGGGACCAGCGGCCCTGGCAAGAACATGGATGGGCTGCGGATGTAGGTGTGTGGACCAAGCCTGGGCAAACCAGACTGGCAAGTCTGAAGCATCAAGGCGCAACGAGAGAACTGCGGAGGTATGGGAGAGAACTGAGAGAACGAAGATCAACAAGCGGACCATGCTGGAGGAGATTCAGAGTCTTGACTAGCATGCATGGAAGCACTTCACCCAAACAGTCAACCAGCGTGATGCTACAGCCCTGCTGACTTGGCATCAAGGCTCGCTTTTCACGAAGCTCTGTGATCGAAGCTGTCAGAACTGATGATGCACGCTTGAGGACATAATGCACTTCGAGGAGGAGCACTGTGAGCTTGCGGTGAGGCCACCCTTGGTTGGAGGACGGGAGTGGCTTGCTGCCGTGCAAGGCGGCACACGCCGGTGTGATCAAGAAGACCTAACTACATGGCTCGAGAGACCAACTGAATCCTGCAGCTGAGCAGGAGTGCTGGAATCAAGCATGGAAGCCGCCCGAGTCCTGACAAGGCCACCCGCCTCATTTGCTTTGGAGACGTGGTGGCAAGGTGCCATGCATGGTGTGCCACTGCCATGCAGTTATCTCTCGTTGGAAGGCACTCAACAAGAGATGTGGAGAAGGATCTGAAAAACGGACACTTCCACTCCTTTTCCCCACCTAGGAGGAGCATGGAGCCACTGCTGAAATAGATTTCTCTTTGGCTAAGTTTTGAAGCACAAATGTGCGTTAAATATATTACAGTATAGTTCCTAGGTCCTATGTGCTTGGTGCCCGGCGGTGCCCCGTTTTATGAAATGAATCGACATGGCCTCCTTAGCTGAGCTGGGACGTGAAGAGCGCACAGCAGAGCTCGGCCGCACTGCTGAGCCGGGTCGTGAGCGCCTCAGGCTTCGCATGCTTCTCGGCTGTAGAGCGGTGCAAAAAAGTCACAAGAAACAGGTGATAAGTGTGTTGCAAGCATACTTTCAGTATACCTTGACCTTGCTTTTTTTGCCGCTGGCTTTCTCAATGTGAGAGATCTATTGCTGCTTTAAGCATGCAAACTAACAATGTCTATCAAGTCGTGGTGACTGTTGTAGAAGACGCTGCAGCGGATGAAACTTCCGCATCGTCTTCTGCCACTGCTTCTGCACAATTGAGCAGCCAGATGCTACGCGGGCTCAGAAAACTTGCTCTGCCCCTGCCTATGTGAACAACATGCAACAAGGTAACAAGTAAAATATACAGTATCTCCAGATCATGTAGCACCACAATGAATACATAGGGGAAAGCGAGCTTCCGGGTGAGGTTGCAAGAGGGACGATCAGAATAAAGTCTTCACAGAAAGGATTTGGTCGGTGGGTTCCCCCATGTTCATCCGCAACCAAGCGCAGATTCAGACTCGATTGATCATCCCTCATAAAACCTTCGCCGAAGCACTTCGAGAGGAGCTCAACCTGCGTTTGCATGTTTCGATGTTTCAGCCGGCTTGCAATTGAGGATTATTTTTCCGAATTTCTATTGCGAGAGGCGTAGCTTTGAAGCTGAGGAGCTTCGAGGAAACCAAAAGTGCCAACACCAAAGAAAACAGAACTGGCAAGCAAAAAAGTTCATTGTTTTCTGGGGCTTGAGGGTTGCCACATGGGCGTTGCTCTCAATTATGAAAGTCCAAGCGATGGCCTCCAATCTAACAACCCAATAGGGATGGCCTCCATCCTAATAGCAATGACCTCCAACCCAAGAGCGATGGCCTCCAACCGAATAGGGATGGCCTCCAACCGAATAGGGATGGCCTCCAACCTAATAGCGATGGCCTCCAACCTAAAAGAAGCCTAGGCTGCAAGAACAAACTGTCCCATTCTTTCCGCTCGTCAGTCTCATTTTGTCTGCGCCTGGAAGCTTCTGAAGTGGAGGCCGCTGAAGACACCACTGCCTGCAAACACAGTAGACCAAGAAAGTAAGAAAGCTGAGTCCAATAGGCACCTGGGGAACTTTCAAGTTTTTTTGCCAATGGAAGAGTCAAACAATGAAAGTTTGAGAAGGCAAGAGAAGACAGTTTGCCTTTGAGAATGCATGAACCCTTCCAGGATGGAACAGTTGATGCCGGTTTGGAACAAAATGCCATGTTTGCCTGCGGAGTCTGTTTCTTCAGAAATGACACTTCAGATTCATTGCAAGCCAGGCCAGCCAAGCCTGCTTGCGATCACCTGAGAAGCAAAAACTGCCCAAATGAGGACTGCAGCTAAAGCCCTTGAATGGAGAATGACTCAGAATGAGCATTTTACTTGGAACCTTTGCTGAAGTTTGAGCTTAGTGACTTGGAGGGTCCAAAGGTCGTAACCGTTCCAGGTGCACCTGGCCAAATCGGCTGTGATCAGGCCGAAACAGGACAATCGCCACATTGCCTGCTTCAGGCTGCCACTACTTTCACCTTACATGTGAACCCTCACAATGACGCTGACACATGGAACTGACTCGTTCAGAAATCATTCAACACGAACTGAGGAACAGCCTCCAACCCTGACTGTGACAAAGCCGTCAGCATCAGCTCCTCACGCGAAGTGCAAAAGTACAGCTGACTTGAAGATGTGAGGATGTGTGCCACCACAAACATGTGCCTAAAATTTGCGTTAAAAAACATTCTTAAAATTGCAACGTTGAGCTAAACAGCTTTGAAGTGCACCTGACACCACATGAGCAACTGCACCGCTCAGCTCTGGACGCCTGCAATGTAAAATTGATATATATATATATATAAGCAAAGTTAAAAGAAAAACCTAAGCATTAAAAAAACAGAAATCAAACCTCAAATTGCAAACAAGAGATGTTCTTTGGGAAACGGAAAAGGACCTTCTCAAGTGGCCTCCGCATAGCTCTTAGGGAGACACGATCACCAGGCAAAGGTAGCCGGTAAGGCTCCAAGTCCTCAATTTTGGCTTTGCATGGTTTCTACGTTAGACTTTTGTGTCTCTGTTTGTGTCTTTCTATGTTTCTGTGTTGTGATTTGTGTTTGGACCGCTTGATCTTCTCATACCTTCTCACCTGTTTGGCTATTTGAATAGTAGTTCAGTCATGCACAAACAAAACATTCATGTAAGAAATATATTGTTGAAGACATGTATATGCTCCTATCTTGAGTGCTACCGTGGACATAACTGGGATTGCTCAAGACTATCCACTAGACTTAGAGGCTTCTAGCCTTGTACATCCAGCCTTCCTCTTAAACCTTTTCTGCTCAAAAAGAAAGCAGAACGGGCCAGAAAAGGTCTCTTTACACAACCCTTTGAATCGGGAGCTATCAGTTGTGTTCTAGCACAAAGAAGTATGTGGCAGCCAGCATGAAACTCGGCGTCCGAGGCTGGCTAACTTCTCTTCAGATGCGTTCAATCCCGGAACTTTGTTTACAAGAATCTCCAAAACAAGCCTGCTTCACTCGACAAACTCACAATCAAAGGGTTCCCTCAAAGCATGCATGATGAATTGTAATGATTGCTGTTTTCCTTGGGAAATAACAATCAAATAACTAATCAAAACCTGCCAGAACCTGCAAGAGTCTTTTCTGTTCCCATGGCATCACGAGTATTTTCTAGTCGAAGCCGTGGAGACAAAACAGGCCTGTGCCCACGGGGACTGCCTTCTATGAGTGAAAAGTTGTCATCCAAACTGTGGGTCCCTAAAACAAAAAGAACCGTCTGTCAAACACCGTGACAACTTCCGGCTCGAACACGTTTTTTTCATAGAGACGTCAGTCCGTTGAAAACAACGCAAGAGACTAGAAAGACGAAAGCGAAAAGACCAATCGCAATCGCGCTTCCCACCTCCGGGGGCCGAGGCCAAGCAGGTGGCTTGCGCATACGGCCTTCAATAAGCGTTGAGAAGCGTTGGGAATGCGAAAGGGAAACATGTTTAGAAGAAATACCGTCACATGGCAAAAGTTCACACTCTAGGCCAGCGTGCTGGCAAGGTAGTCTGTCTCCTTGACGACATCATCACGTAGCATCATCATGTCCTAAGGCTCCGTTCCCTGACAAGAACGCACTTAAAACTAGTAGCAATGGCCTCCGCCTAATAGTAGAGTCCTTGCTACTAGTAGCTTCTTGTTACTAGTAGATATGCCAGGAGCTACTAGTAGCTTCTTGCTCCTAGTAGCGATGCCCTTTGTTACTAGTAGCTTCTTGTTACTAGCAATGGCCTCCAACCTATTAGCGATGGCCTCCAAGAAGCGCCATCTTCAGCCCTCGCTTTTGGCTCTTCGCCTCTTCTCGGCTAAGCGGCTCTAAGCTAAGCTTCCAACATTCATTGGATTTCTTCCCCGCGGCTGCATGGCGAAAGTGTTAAGCTCGCAGTGTTGTGTTTGCAGTCTGATTGGATTTGCGATTTGCTAGGCGCACTTAAGCTTTTGGATGGCAAAATTCTGCAATCACTACTTGATCTCTGCAATAGGATAGCTTCAGCTGAAAAAGGGACCTTGCGCAATTTAACAACATGTGCTGCTTCTGACTCCTTAAAGTCAAGAAATAGGCAATGTAAGAACTAGGCAATACCACATGTCCTCTATCAGCGTGTTTCTGGGCAGTCGCGCTCAGTCTCAGGTTTGCGAGCTGCAGAACCTCAAGCAGCACTTTTTTGTCAAAAACGCTGCAGGGATATTGGATGAGAGCCCTGCAAGGTCTTCGCGAGCTAGTCGAGTTGGATAGCTTCACCTGGAACACTCCAAAGCTTGATTTGGTTTAGCGACTTCGCTTCGGGGCCTTGTTGCCTTCAAGGCATTTCACAGTTAACAAGTCAGCAAAGTTAAAGCAACTGTGCAACAGTGAATCGATATGTGTTTACATTACATTTAAATCCGCTCGCACCGCAGGTGCTGGGGCGTGTGTATCCGGATGGCATAGTCAATCGCAAGATTTCAGCTTTAGTTGGGGGGGCCCTTTATCCGCCAAGAAACCTGAGTTGTCGAAGGTTGTTGAAAGTCGAGCGCAAAATAGCGTCGACGTCGTAAAACCTTGCATTTGAGGCCAAGCACTCACTTGCGCACCCCCAAATAACCTCACTTGCGCACTTTACCTCACTTGCGCACTTAGCACTCACTTGCACACTTTCAGGGGGAAAGTGAAGGTGAAAGGACATTCAACCACCAACAATCTATTGGGTGGGGGGGTAGGAGAAAATGAAAAGATACTCAACCACCAAACAATGTAAGTTCTTGCACCTGACATGTAATTAGGTGAGGTTACTGAACACAACTGCTCATTAAAATTACATATCTTGTTGGGGTGAAGTGGGTGGGTGGGGGGGGGGGGGGGGGGGTGGGGGGGTTAATAACGTCTTTGTTGACATTCTTCCACGTGATGATCTTTATTGAATATGTGCTTCCAAAGAACCATGTGATACAAATGTTCTGTGTCTGATCTAGTTAGTTAGTGTGTTTGTTTGTTGAATAGATAGCTAGTTAACTAGTTAGCTAGCAAGCTAGCTAGTTAGTGAGTACTATGATGTTGTAGTAGTAGTAGTAGTAGTAGTAGTAGTCAGTAGTAATGGTAGTGGTAAAGGTAGTAGTAGTAGTAGTAGTCGTCGTGGTAGTACTATTCGTCTGCGTCTTCGCGGTCGTCGTCGTCGTCGTCGTCGTGGTCTTCGTCGCAGTAGTATGATGTAGTAGTAGCAGTAGTAGCAGTAGTAGTAGGAGTAGTACTTGTAGTAGTGGTAGTTGTGGTAGTATAGTGGTAGTGTAGTGGTAGTGGTAGTGGTAGTGGTAGTGGTAGTAGTAGTAGTAGTAGCAGTAGTAAGGAGTAGTAGAAGTAGTAGTAGTAGTAGTAGAAAAATGCACAAGCGAGGTAAATTTGCAAGTGCACAAGCGAGGTAAATTTCAAGTGCACAAGCGAGTGCTCGCCCGCATTTGATGCAGGTTTTGAGACACACAGATTTCTGAGCCGTTCTTGAGAAAGTTGTTTAAACGAGAACGTGGTTTTGTTTTCGAGATTTGGTAACTTGAGAGAGGAGGGGGTGAACGAAAGGTAGCAGGCAATCACAAGTAACCCTGGTAGAAGTCCATGACGGCGTGAACCGGCGCAGGGGGGATTTGATCCAGGGAGGGGGGGGCCCCCCCCCCCGACGAACAGAATCAACTCTTACAGGACCAAATTCAATGCACAATCCCAACGCCTGATTGTAATACATTTTTGCTAAAGCAAGGAGAACTCAGGTAGCTCAAGCTACCTTTCGTGAAAAATAACCAGGTAGAACCGGCATCAACAAACACCAGCGGCTTCATGGTACAGCTCTAGCTGGCTAGGGTTTCATGTTAGCCAGATAGAACCGGGATGATGGGAATCTATATATATATATGTAGCTTTTTATAGCACTCAGAACATCTTTTGAAAAGCAGTTTCAATCTAGCCACCACCAGTGCTTGCAACGATACTATAACATTTCTCCTGTAGCATTACCACAAACATTTCTCCTGTTGCGGGCGCACCCGGCCGCGTAGCCGGGTGAATACATGCATATGGGATCGGCTACCTTAAAAGCGGAACTGCACCCACTTTATACATGTATATACCTGAGAAGGGAGGGGGCAAAAGCCAGCCACCGTAAAGGATATCAATATGGTCCCCCAAGCAACTCAAAGCTTGCCCGCTGCATTCTGTTCCCTCCCTGTTCTCAATGAATGGGTCACATCGTTTCTTGCAATCCCTCTTTTCCTATCACGTCCTCCTCCACTATGCCTGTCTCGTCCACATGAACTCCCACCCCATATCAGGTGCCCGTTTCAGTCCGGCAACTAGACCTCATAACCGTTAAAAAAGGGCACCCCCAAGCAATTCAAAGCTTGCCCGCTGCACTTTGTTCTCTTTCCTGCCCTCAACGGACCACAGCATTACATGAACTCGCACCCCATATGATATGCCCTTTTGCGTATACAGGCGTCTTCGCCATAAAAAAAGGGCACCCCCAAGCAACTCTAACATTTCTTGCAAACACTCTTTTCCTACCACGTCCTCCTACGCTATGCCTGTCTTCCACCTTCCCGACAGCGTTCTGGTTCCTCACAGATCACACAGTGTCTTAAGAGACACACACCTCCCTTTCATGAGAGGCGCGCATTTCCCTTTTCCGGAGGAGTTCCAACCACTTTTCGCACCCCGTTGTCCCTTCTTATCTATCATTGACATGAACACCCACCCTGGTAGAAAACGGCTTACATTGCCTCCTGAGCCCTTACTGGCCCTCAATTACATCACCGGCATCACAACACCCCCAAAAACTACTCATTTTCACTACCAAGTGGCCACCGCTTTTTTCGCTCTCCCCTACCCTGCTCGCAACCAGCCCGCCCACTCACTTCGTTCGCTCCATCAACCTCAAGCCTTGCCTATCGGCTGGCTTTCGTGACCCACATACGTACCTACATACATGGAATACATATTCTGCTTATTGAGATTGACACGGGTGTGGCAGCGGCGCAGACGTGGGGTGTCCTTCATTTGCTTTTGGAGCTTGATCTTCGGCATCTCCTCAGTGGTGGCCAAGAGGTTGATTGAGGTCCTGAAGAGATGATTTTGCTTGCCATTCGTCCAAGATGCCCATGCCTGCGGAGACATGACATGGATCTTGAAGCCTGCGCCCCCTTCAACATAGTGACTAAGTGCAGAGCAAATCGTGGCCCGTAGAACCAAGGACTGCCGTTTGTTTCCCAGGGAGGACAGCAAAGAGTTTCAGTTTCAGCTCATCATTATCCGACCAGGCTCACTGGGCGGCATGTCTCTACCCACAAGGACTCAAGGTACCACCAAGGCTGCCAAGGAGACAGCGGCAGTTTTACTTGAGGGTGAAATGGCGGAGGACAAGCGCTACAAGAAAATTGCGCCTTTGGCATCGGCCATCTTGCACGTGAAAATTCCTCTTTGACAAACAACACTTCATGCATGTCCATGCCCGGCAGCGGGAGCAACATGAAGGACACACTTGGGAGGAGCAAGGACGTAGCATGGTGTACAATCTGCAAGCTCCGGCTGACTGTGCAAACAAATTCCTTATGAGCACCTTCAGCAACTCCAGCAAGAGAGACATGAGCTTGATCAAAAGGAGCCAAGCTGGAGCGCTGACAGCGGGCTCTGAGACCAAGAAGGAGTTTCTTGCAAGCGTCATCAACGGGGAGATGGATGGCATGGGGCGCCACTATGGGCTCAAGACAAACTACCTGGCCTGTACCTCCTGTGGCCTCATGACCTTGAAGCACAGCTCCAAGGACAAACTTGAAGTGCTGGAAGGAAGCACTGGCTTTGCCTCCTGGCTGCCAGGACGGAAGAACACACGCACCGCATGTGGAGGGCCAGAAGGTGTACTGTACAGTGTGTCAGAGTCATGCTGTGTTAGCGGAGAGGAAAGATTCCAAACTCCTCATCGGCAGCGGAAAAAATGAGCAGAAGACGTTGCCCTTTCTCTTTCGATCCTGCACTTAGGAGGCAGTTGAAACGGATTCCCAAGATGCTGTTAACTCAAAGCGTTGCAGGAAAAAAGGAACTCTTGTGCTTAGTGCCAGCGAATACAATATGTGGGGGCACACGCTTGACCGGCGCCATGACTCTGGAAGTTCAGAAGCAAACAGATTATGAGGCATGCACTTTTTGCTCTCCATTGTTGCAGTGTATAGTATACAGTATTAGGATTTGTCACAGTAGGTGTTTTGCATTTGCAGAAAAACGCAGACCAGTTCTTTGGCAAAAGGGCCCACCTCTGACAGCCGCTTCAGCCTTCCCTGTTCCTGGTGAAGTGGAGAATGACTGAGCGAAAAATTGCAGACAGCCAGGCAATCGAAATGAATTCTGAGCTCGAGAATTCCAAACATGGATGAATCCTTTTCGAGCAAAGCGAAGGACTCAACTCACGTGACTCGCTGTCGAAGGACTTTTCCCAAAATTGAAAACATATACTCAGGTACTCATTGCAATGCCAGAAAAAGGGAAAGACAGAAAGGTCTTTTTGCACACGCCCTTCAGCTGCAAGCTCCCTATCGCCCACGTCCTTGGAAAGTTTGGTCGTCCACGAAATCTTCTCAGAACACCTCTATCTTAATGACGTTCTTCAATCTTCTCAATTCGCATGCACACATCGACAAACAAGCGAACACTGTAGAAAGTCCTAAACTCTTCGCTTTGCAACGTCAGAAACCCTTTTTACCAGCTGGATAGTTGTCTCGACTCAACCAGGCTGCTATGTCTGCTATCTTCCTTTTTGGTGAAAAACGCAAACATGGGCCCCAAACAGTTTCAGCATTTCTTTTTGGCGTCAGCTCCTTGAATTCCAATGTTGGTCGTAACATCTGCATTGAGAATTGCATGTCAACAAAAATGCTAGAAAACAATCGCTCCTGATTCCCAGGGTCACGTGCGTAAACACGAAGGGATATATGTAATGAGAAAATCCAAAGACACCCGAAAACAGGGAAAGCGGCGTGGCCAAGCAGGAGCCGGACAAGCAAGGCGGGGCGGCTGAGAGACCTGGACAAGGACAACGCACGACCTACGGCGTGGCCAAGCCCGAAACATCCCAGACAAGGACAGGATGAGGCCACTAAACTGCTTGGGGAACAAGAGGGCACTGGGTTCGCCAGCGCGGCTAGAGGACACCACGACAACAGCAGGACACAGGTCGCGCGGACAGTGGAGGGGAAGAAGAGGACAGGAGGACAAGACCCGGACTCAGGGGTGCGGCCAGAGACTGTGGCCAGTGTCTTTTTTCCTAAGAGAGAAGTGAGAAAAGCCCAACAAAAAGCTGTTTGGGGGGTACAAACAACAACTTGTTCGAGACTCCAAGCATCAGCACGGGGCTGCTGCAAGATCTCCAGCGCCAACAACACGTCCTCCTTCGTCAAGCCGACCTCGCTCCTGGTGCTGGGTAGCTACTGATTCGGACCCAAACTCAAAATATCTGCAACTATCATGTCCAGTGCTCACTTGCCTGCAATGGACGAAGTGATGTGCCAGCACACCCAGGCCTGGGCCAATTTGAGGCGAGTGCGGGGGAAGGAAGAGCGAAGACCGAAGATGAAGATAGTTTGCGGTGCGTACTCCCCAAAACCTCACCGCAGGGAGGGTCAAGGGTGCACTGAGTGAACTGGGTGCACTGGGTGCACTGCCATGCTACTTTCCTGCTTGCCAACTTTCCAGTTTCCTTTTTGATTCAAGTACTACTCAGCAAGGAGAGCTTTGACTTGAACTCTAACGACGGCTTCGGCCGAGTGTTCATCAATCAAAATCTCAGAACTTCACCTGCTGTGCGTCGGTCATCCAGGATCACAAAGCCAGACACTTCTGGATGATCCTGAGAAACATGTGTTTCCGAATGCAAGAAGGAACATTTGACAAGGGGTGTGATCTGCTCAAAAGCTGTGACACGGCACAATTAGCGGCCTGCAGCCACGCGCAAATTTCCTCGCTTCTGCTGGCATAGACCTCACGTCGAAATTCTATCGTCTCCTCGACCGAGGAACCGAGACAGAACCGAGACGGACAGCGAAAGTGTCCAGTTACTAGAAGCTCTACTAGCTAGTAGCTTAGTAGGTAGTCCCGATGGCCTCCAACCTAATAACAATGGCCTCCAACCTACCAGCGATGGGCTCCAACCGAAAAGCAAAGGCCTCCAACCGAATAGGGATGGCCTCAAAACCAGATAGGGATGGCCTCCACCCGAAAAGGGATGGCCTCAAACCAGATAGGGATGGCCTCCAACCGAATAGCGATGGCCTCCAACCGAATAGCAACCGAAAAGCGATGGCCTCCAACCGAATAGCGATGGCCTCCAACC